GGTGGCCAGCATCCTTTGTGGCGATGTTTACACATCACACAAGATACTCATTTGAGGCTGAGTCGACCTAGGGGACCATTTCCGACCATCGCCACTGTTGGTCGTGAGTGGGAATCATGACATAGACAGGGAACGATGCCGAATGGTTAGCAACACAGGGATTCTCAATCCATAGATGTATGTATAACTTCTTTCGCACCGTACATAGCCAATCGTGCTAATCCGAGGTGGTCGCGGGCTGGGGTTGAATCTCCCGGCGTGAGAGACAAACACAGGTATCTGACCTCACACTCACATGGACAATGGCAATCACTGCAGCCCCATGCTCGTATGCTGATTGTAAGCACGGTATCGTCACCTCTGCATATATCAGAATCGTTATTTATCCGATGAGCAGAGCACGGCGAATCGGAGCGAACAGCAGCCACCCCCCCAGTAGCGATAGGTACAGAGCGTTTACAGCAGTCAAGATGGGAGGTCCCGTAAGTATTGGAAAGTTCTCGAGTGGAATGCCGGCCAATGCAACAATATTTTGGGTCCCGCTGTGGCTAGGAGATGTTAACTACCTCGCCTGGTATACAGGAGGTCGTGGGTTCGAGCCCGACCCTGACGCCCGCTGTATATTTTAAGTTTGCATGTCTCTCTCTCCCCGTGGTCGCGTGAATTTTTCTCCGGGTCCTCCGATATTTCCCTCCACATTTAGAATCAACACGCGTTTAGAGTATTTAACTGCTATAAATGTCCACGTGATAAGCCACTTGGTTTTAGCTGTCACGTGTGGCCAGGTCACTTGTGAAAACGAGCTATGCAGCTCAGTGAGCCTTACCTGGTGAAATAAAAATAAAAACTTAGTTTCGTTTTAAAACGCGACTCTTAAACCGGGCGATATTCCTCAGATGGTAAAATCGGGGTCCCCGTGACGGACGACACTCCTGACATTGAAGCGTCAGTCCCTCATCGAGCAAAACGCCCAGATTTCACGCCTGATCAAAAATTCACCATCTGGCTACGACCTCCAAAACTCGAGACAGGGGAGTCTGCCTATAGGCGATTGCCACTTCACCTGGGCGCCCCGGGTTCGAAACCATTACCTCGGTCTCGTCAGGATTCAGCCTCAGCCATTTGACATTCACCAAGTCTTGGATCTCTCCGCGAGGAAGCTGTTCAAAAAGTTGAGACAGCTCCACATTGTTTGGGCACGAAGGGCCACGTGTAGCCGAGTAGGAGCTGCATAGCAGGGAAATCTCAGGCCATGCCGCCTTGTCAATGTCTTCCGGCGGTACACCGCCAACGGGCGACAGAACAGAGCCCTGAGGTTGCGCGCCTCACGACAGGGTGGAGGGACCTGAGGAATCAACCCCGGACATGGCCCTCTGTGATCTCCCTGTGCAGGAGAGACGCGAGCCATCGTGTTGAGGGCTGTTCCAGGCGATACCACAGACCCGTGCCTGAGAAATAACGCATTTCGGTCCACCGTGTCATAACGCTGCGGAGAGATCAATGGGAATCGAGATAGAACGGCTCTTCCCATCTATTGCTATCAGGAGATCGTTTGGTGTCCGAACGAGAGCCTGGGGAGGGTCACAAGACGATCCTCCAATTTGCAGCGCCGCAGCCTTCCTGCTGAAGATCCAGACTCACAAATAATAGTTGGATGGAGACAGGTTTGTAGTGAGCATTACAGCCCCCACCCCCACTCCGCATCCGGATCCAGAGGTTTATTTTTGGGAGGCTCCACCAACGGAGAGATACCTCCTCTTGGGTTTCAAGTTCAGGTGTAGTTTGTTTAACCGCGTGAGGACTCAAGAGACCGGGGGACAGCCTCATTTGTGGGTCAGGAATCCTGTCTGTCTCGATCGAACACACGATAAGCCACTTCGTTGAGCTATAATTTGTGGCCACGTGGCTTCTGAATGAGAATCAAATAGCTCAGTGAGATTTTACCTGGTAAGATTGTTTTTTTTTTGTAAGTTTCGTTTTATTTGTATTTTATTTGTATGTAAGTCATTTGTTTACCCTTCTTATACTTTGCACCCCGAATTGTGCTTTTGTATGGTTTGTGGTTGTAACGTTCTGAACTGCCCCTACAGGACATCTGTGAAAAAAATAGCTTTATAGCTCATCGGATTCCTCCAGTATAAATAAATATTCGGATTCTGTGAGTCTGAATGCGGGACTTTCGCCAGTACGGGCCCGAGACTCTCCACGCACCCAGACTGGTGGAGGTCGGCCGCATCGCCTGCGTGCCCTTCACGATACCCACCACCATCGGACTGCCGTGTGACCTCCCACCGTCCCGTACTCAGCAGGGTTGAGCCTGGGGATCCAGTGGCCACCGCCCGCACGCGGCGGGGCTGTCACTGCCCACCGCGGGCAAGAGGTTGTGGGCAGCAGACAGGGACGTGGTGCAGGGTCGACTGTTGTACTGTAATCTATGTTCCCCTTTAATGCCATTCTGTGTTCAACCCCCACCCACCTCACCTTTACCAACTCATACTGGAGTACTGTATGGCACTGCGTGGGGAGGAGCCACTCATGCAGCGGTGGATTGCCACAGGGGGATCGACGCCAGGTGTAACGTGCAGTGGTGCAGTTGCGATTAAAGGTGGCCAAACCGGCCGCGTTGAAGTTTTGTCTTCAAGGCGCCAACTCATCACCCGCATGTGAGTAGCCCGGATTAGCTCAACGGACTCACGTCTATTCTGGACTACACGACGACTCTGGGAAGCCTTCATCCCTTTCGTCGGACTGATGAATGGGGTTTAACAAGCCCTGCTGTGATTTTAAATTCAACCTCCTATCAGGTGGCTTGCTGCAAGCGTGCACACCTGGCCAATGGGTGAATTTGAGCTCGTGTCTCTCTCAGGATCTGATGTCTCCCTCAGGAGCTGCTGCCTCCACGAGTGTCGGCTACCTCCCTCGGGATCTGCTGTCTCCCTCAGGATCTGCTGTCTCTCTCTGGAGCTGCTGTCTCTCTCTGGATCTGCTGTCTCTCAGGATCTGCTGTCTCTCTCAGGATCTGCTGTCTCCCTCAGGAGCTGCTGTCTCAGGATCTGCTGTCTCTCTCTGGATCTGCTGTCTCCCTCTGGATCTGCTGTCTCAGGATCTGCTGTCTCTCTCAGGATCTGCTGTCTCTCTCAGGATCTGCTGTCTCCCTCTGGATCTGCTGTCTCAGGATCTGCTGTCTCTCTCAGGATCTGCTGTCTCTCTCAGGATCTGCTGTCTCCCTCAGGATCTGCTGTCTCTCTCAGAATCTGATGTCTCTCTCAGGATCTGCTGTCTCTCTCTGGATCTGCTGTCTCCCTCAGGATCTGCTATCTCTCTCAGGATCTGCTGTCTCTCTCAGGATCTGCTGTCTCTCTCTCAGGAGCAGCTGTCTCTCTCAGCATCTGTTGTCTCTCTCAGGATCTGCTGTCTCATTCAGGGTCTGCTGTCTCTCTCAGGATCTGCTGTCTCATTCAGGATCTGCTGTCTCCCTCTGGACCTGCTGTCTCTCTCTGGATCTGCTGTCTCTCAGGATCTGCTGTCTCCCTCAGGATCTGCTGTCTCTCTCTGGATCTGCTGTCTCTCTCTGGATCTGCTGTCTCCCTCAGGATCTGCTGTCTCTCTCTCTGGAGCTGCTGTCTCTCTCAGGATCTGCTGTCTCTCTCTGGAGCTGCTGTCTCTCTCTGGATCTGCTGTCTCTCTCAGGATCTGCTGTCTCTCTCAGGATCTGCTGTCTCTCTCTGGAGCTGCTGTCTCTCTCTGGATCTGGTGTCTCCCTCAGGATCTGCTGTCTCTCTCTGGAGCTGCTGTCTCTCTCAGGATCTGCTGTCTCTCTCTGGAGCTGCTGTCTCTCTCTGGATCTGCTGTCTCTCTCAGGATCTGCTGTCTCTCTCAGGATCTGCTGTCTCTCTCTGGAGCTGCTGTCTCTCTCTGGAGCTGCTGTCTCCCTGGGGATCTGCTGTCTTACGAGCCCAGTTTAAATCTTAGCTGTAATGAAAAATGCAAAGTTATGAATATAGACCTGAGATCCATCAGTAGCGTGTGGACCCATGTTCCCAGATCAGCAGTCCAAGAGCCCTGACCATTAGGCAATGGCTCGTGGTGTAGGGTTGCTCGTTCAATATTATTTCACATCGTGTTAATAACATCAATAACAAATAGAGAGAAAAACAACCCCCCCCCCCGTATAATCTACATAGACCGCCGGGGCAAGTGCTGTCAGCGAGCACCTATTAAGGCCAGGACAACGGTGGTGGTGTCGCCAGCACCACCCACCGGCCACCACACCAAGTAGTCAGTTTAGGCTGCGTCGACCCAAGAGAGGCCCAGGAACGGATCTGATATCACTTGCCACTGATGTTAGCGTTCATAGCACAAGCCACTAACCACTGCACCACCACTCCCCGCATACAAAGACCCCCCCCCCCCTCCGTATAACCTTCACAAACTGTTGGGGCAAGTGCTGTTAGCAAGCACCTATGATGGCCCCCACGGCACATGAGGGGGTTGTGGGTGGCCAACACCACGCCCGGCCGCCTTTGTCTCCCCAGTGGCGATGTTTACTACACACCGCGCCAGGTCCTCATTTGAGGCTGAGTCGACAGAGGGGAGGCCCAGGCCCGGTTCAGATAATTGATGATGTATAATCATCACGATGTTGGTGGCCGTGAGCAGGAATCGAACTCGGTTCGCCGGGTTCGTAGCGCAGCGTGTCGCTAACTGCTACACCACCGCTCCCCTGCGCACAATCACACAACAACAGCAGCCGCCATCCACCACCAAAATTAGCGACGACATTACCACGGCGCTTGTGCCAGGCTAGGTGCACTTTGAGGCCACGTGAAGTGTGGAAGGCTCGCTGAAGGTCACGTGACAGGCCCAGGTGCTGCGGGATAAATGATTTGAAACTCCCCTCCAGATCCACCACGTGTGCTCCACACTGCCCCCAACTCGTGCACGCATACACGAAGACGCGTGCGAGCAGTTGATTAAAACGCCATAACTTCGCACGCTCGTAACTTGGCACAGTTTTATTTTGCGTTTAAGATATGTCTTCGTTATAACAGGCTTTGCATAAGAACGTACGGTATATTTTATAAAGCGTCCGGGCATGACCTGCGTTGAGTTACGCCGAATGGAAACACGTCAAAAACCCTTAACGTGGCTTCTCTGATGCACAAATCGACGCATCCCGCTCCTCATACCAATTTCACGCCACCCTCTCGCTGCTGACAATAAAGTGATGGCTGGGAGGATCGAGTGGTCGCCCAGGTCCTGTCACAAGTTTCCGCTAGGCCAAGCGATTCTTTTAAACTGAGGGGCCATCGACATCCGTTTGGATCGTGTGGCCACAAGTCGCTGCTCTTATTTTCTACAGCAGTGGTTCTCAACCCTTCCGTGGCTATTGTAACCCTTCGCCCGACTCAACATGGTTTCTTAGAAATAAATGTTCGAATCATGAACGTCAATATTTGTCTTATTTTCTACCTACCACGTGACTTTACCCAAAGAACCAAAGAGTATGGATCTCTGCAGTCACGAAAACTTCAAATCTAGATCGATATTTTTATCAATTGTCCATTCTGTGAGGTATCCTAACGAGCTAGTCAGTAACTGCAAGTGAAAACAAAAATCAACAGACGCTTTGCATGCATCATGCCATTTGTTCGCACTTGCTGGTTACTATTGAAAACCATCAATGAGTTTAGAAATGTATTTAATATCGCTATCGGTTACCATATGGATTTATATTTTATCATACTTATTTTATCTTGGCAGATTCACACGTGATTATTCACCAATCACTCTGATGTATGATATAATTTCACACATTTATAAATCGCCTCACGTACCCCCTGGGACATTGCCACTTACACCCAGGGATCCACGTACCCCCGGATGAGAACCACTATTGTCTAGTAACCACCTCGTTGCGCAATAATTAGAAGCCACGTATCCTCATCATCATCATTGTTATCACCATCATCATTATAGAACACATGTTCCAGCACAAACCCAAATAAGTGCTCATTTACGATCGCAAGTCCAAGCCACCCGCTCGAGATTGATTTAACATGTTTCAGGAGTTACGGATTTTTTTTTTACTTTTAGGATTATGGGCATATACACATCGTCGTATACGCGACAGGTAATATATTAGCACGAACATCTCATAACAATGTATTAAACCTTACACAGAACTCAACAGCTGATGTTGAATGGATGTGGAAACCGGTCTGAATAAAGCAGCTCAGGGTACAGCGGGCATGGGTAAAACACTGCAAAGTGGTCAAATGCACAGCAACGTCCCGGTGAGATCCAAATACCTCTTCATTAAATGAAGACCTCAATAAAAAAATACCCAACTTGCTTAAACCGCGTGCGAGATGACAAGAGGCATGCCATCAATTAAGACCTTAAAGGAAAATAATATCCGTCTGTTATTTAATCAAGTTGAGCACAGGATGACAAAACGAGAGTTCTTTAGCTAAACAGTTCTTCAGCTATGTGGAACGCAGACTGATTTAACGCCTGTTGTTTAGTTATCCAGAGATTAGGGTGCGCAAAAGGTGATGGTAAAAATGTTTTCACTCCTCCTGATTATGAGCAGCGAAGAAAAATGGCATCAGGCCTAAACTAGGCCGAGGTTTCAAGAGAGCATCGATTTCAATGAATGGACACATACATTAAGCACGTTTAGTGTGGCACACACGAGCTTACCGGTACATTTTCCATGAACACTTAATGACAACAACAAATCATATCTCAACTAGAGCTGCAATGCTTTATCGAATAGTTATTGGCTTAAATAAACCGAGTAGATGACTCAGTCTGTAATCACAACTGTATACCAACCTACAACACACCATTGTCTCGACCCATCTGATAAATAATCCTCGTCTTAACTACGACAGCATCTTCATCTTATGCGACGCAGAATACTGATCTGATACAGAATCCGCATGTCGTCCAATACAGAACCATCGTCTTGTCCAATACAGTTTTGATTTGTCAGATATAGAATCCTTGTTTTATCCAGTACAGAATTCCAGTTCCATCAATTATAGATCCCTTGTCCATTATAGAACGATTCCATCCAGTACAGAATCTCCATCTCATCTTATACAGAACCCCCATCCAATCCAACAAAGAATCCCAATCTCATGACACGGAGCCCTCACCTTATCGTACAGGCAACCTTTGTCTTGTTATGGTGCCTTGAGCTCAAATATCGCCATCTAATTCCAGTAAACCATACAAACCTGTAGGCTTTGTCACGTAACCTCCATCAACACACATAGACCACCGTTTATGACAAATGGATCAGTTAGAACAAACTACTCTACACTGTATACACTTCAATGCTATCACAGTTGCATTGCTCCTGTATGTACATATAAATTTACATATACATAATATTTAACACACACTCACATATTTTACAGAATATATATCTGAAACATCTATTTTTTACGTCTTAATATCTGGGGGTTATCAATGTGACGTCTGTATCGGTCACTGTGCTTCCGAGTGGCTCAGACGGAGCCATGTGACCTCTAATGCTGGAGTGTTGATTGGAGCCTCGATCCAGGCACACGCTCAATTTTCTGTAAAAAATGTAAAAACCAAACACGTTCATTTTTCTGAGACGATCATTAAACGAACATTATTTACAAGCTCAAGAACAACATAATTGAAAGTAAAAAACCTAATATTCTAGTTAGGCTTTCAAGTTAAACGTCACAAATGTACAGAACGTTGTGTGATACGACACGCAAAACAAAACCGTGAATGTTTCAGTCTTTAGCGTCCATGAGTGTGGACGGATTTTCATTTAGAATTCTCGTCTCGAGTTTTTTGGCGGTGGCTTAACGTCCCTGCGCGATGGACGACGCGCACTCTTGCAGCCGAGTGTACCTACGCATTTGAAAATGCGGTCTAAATAAATATAGTTTCAAAAGAAAGAAACTCATTGACGGTTGGATCATCACCGAACCTTCGTCCTGACCGAAGCACGTCGCTTTCAGTCTTGGTCTTGCCCATTATGATACCAGTCACCGCACCGGCTGCTTTCTTGATTTTCCGACTGCATTGATGGCACCTTTAATTGGTCAAATCGAGTTTATCGACAACTATTTGTAAATCAGAGTAAGAGTGTAACAGCCTAATTCAGGTAAACGTACAACCTTTGTCTCCCTCCAATAGAATGAAGGTACAGTTGCTTAAAATGTATTAGATCTTAGTCCTCTGGCCTTTGCGACAACCCAAAGGCATAAGCTCAAAGGGCCTCTTCTAGATTCACCACCCAGCAAGTGGAGTTGGCCTAATCCACAGAATAAACGGTTTCCTTGGCGAGTGTGCCCACGTTTTGTTTTGGGTACTGGGGATCTTGGTGAAAGGCCAAGACTTGCAGGGCGTTCGTGATTCAAGGTTCAACAACGTTGTGGAGTAGGGGAAGGCCCAAAGAATATCAGCAATTAGAAGAGAGCAGATGACTTCGAAGTATTTGCATCGTTATCGCTTCGATGGAAGGCCAAAAACGGCTGCAAATAGCCTTTAAATCCTTGAGGATTAGAATGATGAGATTCAATCCCACACTGTCTTCGTCTCATCTCATCCTTCTTGCCTTCAATTTTCTATCCTTTAATTTGTAGACCTTTCCCCCTCTCCTTTTCAATTTCCTCTTTCCATTTACTCTTGTCCTTCTCGCTTCATCACCCGGCCTCCCATCCCTCCTCTACCCTCGATCGAGCATCTTCATCCAATCTATTTTATGTTCTTCCTCCAACATTGACTTTCTCACTTCCTCCCCCAATCAACTGCATCAAAAACCCACCAACTTGTAATTTCCACTGTTGAAACAATTTGTGGCAGCGTTGGGATGGGTGCTTTACGAATTAAGATTAACCAGGTTTTTTTTATCATAGGAAGTTTTGCTCGACTGGCCACCTTCGGGAAATACTGAGGTTTGCAGCGAGGCGAGGGATGTGCGGGGCCCGTTAAAGTTTCTTGATATAAAAGAACGTTCATAAAGGTGCCATCCACTACCAGAGAATCAATAAAAAATAAGTCCCAAATTGGTGGTTGAAATGTTGCCAACATACGCCTTACACATGCTTAATCCTTTTCTAGCAAAAAACGCACACAATCTTCAACAGCGCATCAGTGAAACATTTAAAAGAATCACACCCGCGACGATGTTGGCCAACACCCGGGTCTCTCTACGACGCAAGTCGCCAACGCCATGGCGGACACGCGGGGGGGTTTAGAGGGATGAGACTCGAACGATACCATTGTCATATTACCTGGTGTGTGTGTATGTGTAAGTAGTTTTATGGGCTTTCTTCAAAATATCAGCAGCGGGTCTTATGGTACGAATATCAGAGCTGTAGGCCACTGCAATAAGTGTTAAAGGTGAGGCGTCTAAAAATCAAGGTTCGTGCGGAAGAGGAACGGCTGGAATAGGTGTGAAGGTGTGACTACCTTGGAGGGCACTGAAGATGGCAGGTGTGAACAAGAGGATACGAAAATAAGAAGAATCGGATTGGCCAAGACTATTTGAAAAGAAGCGTGGTAAGTAATAAGTTGGACAAGAAACAGAAGAGAGAGGATTGGATATTGGAACATTTTGTTGTGTGGAGTGTCGTGGGATACACCAGTAAAGCATGGACACTGCGGTAGGATGACTTGAAGAGACTCAATGTGTTTAGGATGTGGTGTTATGGAAGAATGGATAGAGTTAAGCTGATGTGTTAAGTAGAAAGATGACGATGAGCTGAGAGGGAATGGCTACGAGCGAGAATGACTGACAAGTCTAACGAGAAGGAAGGTGGCATATGCAGGACACATCCTAAGATCGGGAGGTAGGCCTACATGAGCGGCTGGCCTGGACTCTCCATGAGACGCTGCAGATCAAGCCTGAGTAATGAGAATGACAATAGATAGGGAGAATCATGGATAAGACCACCTTGACGGACACCGTGCACAACTGATTATACCTTTATGGACCTGTTATGGAGGAAGGTAGGTGTGCCTGGCTTTGTGATGCTTGGTGCAGTGTCAATAGCATCAACGCAGCCACACACGACATTTGCACATTTGCAACAAGTTTGAGACTATGAAAAATAAGATGTTCAAACACCAAGTAGATTTTTTTTGCAAGGAATCAAGTCTGCATGAACCACACGTACTTGTGGTGAATATGCAAACAGGAAAATCTTAACACCTATTTTATTGCCAGAAAGGGTGAAACCTATTCTTATTTCTCATACTTTGATGCTGGCAAAAAGGTCCCATGATAAGTTTGAGACTCTCGCACTGCAAAGCTCAATATTTCATGTAGACCGTTTTGGCCAAAAGTGTCGAGATTTGCCTTTCCTCCCAGTGTCAGTTTTGTATTATTATCTGAAACCAGTCTGTTAATAGCGTTGTATAAATTCACGTCAGCAGTAACGTCGAATGCCGTAAAGCGACATGCCAATACAGAATCTCTCTTCGTAGTGCCCCCCTCCTTTTCTGTCCCTCCATACCCACCAACTCGAGCCCCCTCCCGCTCCCCTCGCTCAATTCATCATCTCTATGTCGAGCCCCAGCGACGCCGTGTGCTGCTTCGCCCTCAAGCGCAAGTTCTCGATGCTCGACGTCTTGCTGCTGCTGCCGCCGCCGCCCCCTCCGCCGATGACGCCCACCAAGCCAGGCATTGCCAGCGAGGAGGAGGGGGGCGGCGACGCCATCGCCACCGCCGGGCCCACGACCCCGCCGGTGCGGGCGCCGATCGCCGTCGGCGACGGAGCCACGAGGATCCCGGCGCCCCCGGCCGCGACGGCCAGCGGCGGGGGCGGCGCGTGCGTCATGGTAGTGGCGGTCGTGGTCGCGGTCGCGGCCGCCGCGGCAGCCGCCGCGGCCGCCGCCGCCGCCGCGGCCGTGGAGGCCGACAGGAGGGCAGCGCCGCCCTGCGGCACCCACGCCGGGTAGTAGGGCTGGCAGGCGAGCGGCGCCATGGGGTAGGCGAGCGGGTGCGGCGACTGCGCCAGCTCGAAGGACGAGCGGTACACGAGGCTGCCCGCCGCCGCCGTGGCCGCCATGTGCTGGCGGAACTGCTCCTGCAGGCGCAGCAGGGAGAGGGGCGCCGAGGCGTAGCTGTGCGGAGGAGGGGGCGGCAGTGGCGGCGGAGGCGGCGGAGGCGGCGGAGGCGGAGGCACGGGGGCACAGGGCGAGAGCAAGGAGGACGGGCGGGACGTGGGGTCTGTGTGTGCGCGAGGTGGGACGTGGGACATGGGAGGAGAAGGAAATGGTAGAGTGTGGGGAAGCGGAGAGAAGTGGGAGGAGAGAGTAAAGCAAGAGTTAAGTAGATTTAAGAGAGAGCAATCAGATAGTTAAGGGAGAGTATCGAGAGAGTGGAGATAGTATAGAGAGTTGAGAATGAGTTGTTAAAGAAAGAGGTAGTTGAGAGTAATTAGAGATTTAAGAGTCGTTTAAAGAGATATGTGCAAGTAGTTATGGGTGTAGATAACGACAGTTTGGAGAGAGAGTGGTTGTTGAGATTTTAAGGGATGGTAAAGAAAGAGGGGGAAATATAGAGGACGGTGATGGAGAGATTGGAAGACAAAGGAGAGAGATTAAAACATCAGGCCGGGTGGCGCTGTCATCAGAGCAGTCGACTCGCAGTTCAGATATCACTCACCACTGACGGTAGCTGCAGCTGGAAATCAAAGTCGGGTGGCCAGGTTTATACCGCGGTGTGCGAACCAATATGCCATCGTTCCACCCCCTACATTTGTGTGTACACGTTCGTTTTGTACATTTGATTATGTTCATGTCAGGTCCAAATTGTCCCTGCTCAAACAATTGTGGATGATACTCATCTCCTTTGACGACCCTCAATCAGTGGTGGAAATTCCACATTCCTATGGTAGGAATTCCACATTCTCTCCAAGGGAAGACCACTGGTCACTTCTGCTGCTAATGAAACTAATGCGGCTGATTATAATAACACTGCCGCAGCTGCTGATGGATGCTGCTACAGCTGCTATTGATGAGCCGGAGGACAATGACGAATGAACCCCAATCTACATGTGAACTCGTGACTTTCAAATTGTGAGGTGGAAATTCCACATTCCCATGACAGATCTCGGTCTGCCCATATATAAACAAGAGCGGTAGTGGTAATAATGATAATGATAAATGAAAGAGGTAGTATAAGTTATCCGTAAGGGTGTGCGTGTGTTGGTCACTATTAATTAATTAATGACCAATTCCCGAGTTGGCCATTATGTACCGACTGCCCCAGGCTGTATGGATTCGCAGGCCCTACCCCTCGTTTAAATCGATTAAACCTGAGCCCCAAGTCGGCCTAATTAGCCACTAATTAGCGACGGCTAATTACACACGACAGCACCGTGTAGGCCATTATGAACCACGAGGGAGACAGTCACGTGGCCGGGTTACATTGTCCTGTCAATGTGTGTTCCGTGAAACAGCTCAATGAGTGTTCCCTGAAACAGCTCAATGAGTGTTCCCTGAAACAGCTCAATGAGTGTTCCGTGAAACAGCTCAATGAGTGTTCCCTGAAACAGCTCAATGAGTGTTCCCTGAAACAGCTCAATGAGTGTTCCGTGAAACAGCTCAATGAGTGTTCCGTGAAACAGCTCAATGAGTGTTCCATGAAACAGCTCAATGAGTGTTCCCTGAAACAGCTCAATGAGTGTTCCCTGAAACAGCTCAATGAGTGTTCCGTGAAACAGCTCAATGAGTGTTCCGTGAAACAGCTCAATGAGTGTTCCGTGAAACAGCTCAATGAGTGTGCCGTGAACCAGCTCAATGAGTGTTCCCTGAAACAGCTCAATGAGTGTTCCGTGAACCAGCTCAATGAGTGTTCCGTGAAACAGCTCAATGAGTGTTCCGTGAAACAGCTCAATGAGTGTTCCGTGAAACAGCTCAATGTGTGTTCCGTGAAACAGCTCAATGAGTGTTCCCTGAAACAGCTCAATGAGTGTTCCCTGAAACAGCTCAATGAGTGTTCCGTGAAACAGCTCAATGAGTGTTCCCTGAAACAGCTCAATGAGTGTTCCCTGAAACAGCTCAATGAGTGTTCCGTGAAACAGCTCAATGAGTGTTCCCTGAAACAGCTCAATGAGTGTTCCCTGAAACAGCTCAATGAGTGTTCCGTGAAACAGCTCAATGAGTGTTCCGTGAAACAGCTCAATGAGTGTTCCATGAAACAGCTCAATGAGTGTTCCCTGAAACAGCTCAATGAGTGTTCCCTGAAACAGCTCAATGAGTGTTCCGTGAAACAGCTCAATGAGTGTTCCGTGAAACAGCTCAATGAGTGTTCCGTGAAACAGCTCAATGAGTGTGCCGTGAACCAGCTCAATGAGTGTTCCCTGAAACAGCTCAATGAGTGTTCCGTGAACCAGCTCAATGAGTGTTCCGTGAAACAGCTCAATGAGTGTTCCGTGAAACAGCTCAATGAGTGTTCCGTGAAACAGCTCAATGTGTGTTCCGTGAAACAGCTCAATGAGTGTTCCCTGAAACAGCTCAATGAGTGTTCCCTGAAACAGCTCAATGAGTGTTCCGTGAAACAGCTCAATGAGTGTTCCCTGAAACAGCTCAATGAGTGTTCCCTGAAACAGCTCAATGAGTGTTCCGTGAAACAGCTCAATGTGTGTTCCGTGAAACAGCTCAATGTGTGTTCCATGAAACAGCTCAATGAGTGTTCCGTGAAACAGCTCAATGAGTGTTCCGTGAAACAGCTCAATGTGTGTTCCCTGAAACAGCTCAATGAGTGTTCCATGAAACAGCTCAATGAGTGTTCCGTGAAACAGCTCAATGAGTGTTCCGTGAACCAGCTCAATGAGTGTTCCGTGAACCAGCTCAATGTGTGTTCCATGAAACAGCTCAATGAGTGTTCCGTGAAACAGCTCAATGAGTGTTCCGTGAACCAGCTCAATGAGTGTTCCGTGAACCAGCTCAATGTGTGTTCCATGAAACAGCTCAATGTGTGCATATCTCGATGCATGCGCACGTAGGGAGTGACGGGCGCAGGGGTTAACGCGCTGCACTACGAACCCGGCGACCCGAGTTCAATTCCCGCTCACGACCAATAACAGTGGCAAAATATTTCAACCGGTCCTGAGCCTCCCCTAGGTCGACTCAGCCTCAAATGAGTACCTGGCGGGGTGTGTAAACATCGCCACTGGGGAACAAAAGGCGGTCAGGCATGGTCCTGGACATCCACTCCTTCGAGTGCCATGCCGGCCTTCTTCATTGGCGCTTGCTAATTTGCCCTGAAAGACTCCCAAGGCGAGATGGGGAACTTTGTTGACATGTGCTTCTGTGTGTGTACGTAACGTGTATGTGGATATATTCGTATGGGGAGCGGTGGTGTCGTGGTTTGCACGCTGTGCTATGAACCTGGTTACCTCAACAGCACTGGGGGGACAAAGGTAGCCAGGCGTGGTGCTGGCCACCCACCCCTGCCGGCCTTAATAGGTGCTCACGGGCAGAACTTGCCCCCCACAGTTAAAGGCTATATAGGGAATCTTTGTATGTAATGCGTACGCAAGTGTGCACGGAACTGTGATACCGTAGTTAGCACACTGTGCTACGAACCCAGCAACCTATATTTGATTTCCAGGCACAGTTCACATCATTATACATACATATTATGGATAGTGTTATTACGCTCATAACACCTTCTTACCGGCTTCAGGCAATGAGGCCTTCCCAGGTACGGAGCCTGCCTCGCCTGGATCCACACCCTCTTGAGTGAGGGGGTCTTCAGGGGAAGGGTCAGTGGAGGGAGGGCCTGAGGTCGCAGGCGACCCAACTCCTCCCTTGTTCAGAGGCACAGGGGATCTGGGGGAGAGAAAGGTCAGTGTCGGTGTTAGGGGTAGAGGTGGGGCTGTGTCAGAGTTAGAGGTGGGACTGTCTTGGTATCAGTGATGGGGTAAAGCCAGTGCATCAAGGCTAGAGCTGTAGATTTAAGACTCGGGGCTAGCTTTGAGTTCAGGGGTAAGGCTTGGGTCACGGTCAGTGCTAGGGGGTACGATGGTTATTTGTCACCATTACCGATGCCCACGCTGCGTGTTGGTGCATCTGAGCGCCAGTGTCCACGTCCGCGTGATCGCTCGCGTGGGATCAGACATGATCCACGAAGCGTGGGCGCAGCGGTGGCAGCGGCAGCTCTAGCATGAGCACTAGAGCGATTCGAGGGAGGAGGAGGACGCATCCCCCTTGTTTTCCTTCCTTCTCTCGTAGCCTCCAGCGTGGCTGCGCGCTCAATCTTGTAAGCTGCAGTAGTGACATAACAATTTGCCTCCAGGTTTCACGGTCCTTAGCTTTCCTCCTTCTCCCTGTTACCGGTGTTCCTTTGATGTGCTTTGAGGGTGGATTTTGAGAGTGTCCTTGCATCACGCGTATTGGTAGCCAGTTCTTTTTCCACGAGCGAGCCGGCCGTGAAACACCTGCTTAGGGATTCTGAGAGTCCTTCATCCTGACAACATGCCCAGGTCAGCGCAGACGTGTCTTGGTCAGAAGGGTCTCAACGCCGGGGAGGTTGCTACGGAATACAGCTTGTGTGTGTTTGGTATAAGATCCTGCCAGTAGACAAACAAATATGTAGGGATTGTGTAAGCTGTCGGATAATGTGGCAGTACAGAGTTCGGGTCTCATCCATAGAGAAAAGCAGCGAGCAAAAACATCTCTGTATGCGGAAATCCTGATTGAACACCGGACCGTTAGCTCATTTCAAATTTCAATTTGCAGATGCCCGAAGGATGAGGAATGAGATTTTGTCATCGGCGCCTACGGATATGGACAGGACAGTGTCAAGATATGTGAACCTGTCAAATGCGTTGAGCGTCGTGTCATCAGCTGTGCTTTTATGTGATGACTGTAAGGGTAGTTTTGGGCTAATTGGAACATACATTCTGTCGACTGGATGCTGATGGTGGAGACCAAATTGCTTTGATGCTGTTACAAGGTGAGTGAGGAGATCTTAAAGACCCTCTTCAGAATGTCACAATGTTTCAGTCATCGAAAAACTGCAAGCTCACAGATGATGGCTGCACTAACATGCATCTATATTATTTTGCTGATATAAATTTCCACATAAGCCACTTCATTGAGCTATCATTTGTGGCCAGGTCGCTTTTCAAAAATACACTAATAAATCAGTGGGCTTTACCTGGTAAGATAATACATACTTTAGTTTCATTTGTATGTATTTTTTAAGTGATTTGTTTACATTTCTAGATTTAAAGCTTTCGTGACTGCTAGGATCCATACTCTTTGGTTCTATTGGGTAAAGTCACGTAGGTGAAAATAAAATAACAAAAATAACAAAAATAACTCCAGCGCTGTCCTCCAGACAGTCTCGTCCCTTCACCTGATGAAGGCCGCTTGTGTTGTAGCCGAAACGTCGTGATTTTTTGTTATTTTATTTTCACCTACGTGACTTTACCCAATAGAACCAGAGAGTTTGTTTACATTTCCTATACTTTGCACTCCTATCGTGTTTTTGTATTGTTGTTGTAACTTTCTGAGCTGCCCCTACTATACATATGTGGAAAAGAGCTTAATAGTTCATTGGATTCCTCCAGTATAAATGAAGACTGATAACCTTGCATCTGAATTTGGGTCTATTAAGATCGAATAGATGTCCATCAGGTCGATAGCAGATGCACCCTCTTATCAGATCAGGCTGAGAGCAGCATGACCAAGAACACGTCGCGGACCAGAATGGTTGCCACTGGTGACCTCATAGAGGCAGTTCCATTTTCTGTCACGTGGGCCTGCAAACCACCCTGACTGAGCCCGATGATATCACTACGGGCGTAATCACCGTAAGACCACCATGCGCCGTCTGCTTCACGGTGGACGTTAAACATTCCCTGGTACCATTTGCAAGATTGGACCACTGTGTGCCAGCGTGAGTGTCCAAAATTTGCCAAATTCGAAACATTTGCCCACGAAAAACTCAATTGGGATTATAATACAGCTATTATCGCCCTCTAATGCCAGACTAATACCCCAGCCCACTCTTGAAAATTTTGACTAATGCTGGTCTCTTGAGTTCTTGCCTGGTTAAATACAGTTAAATACAATAAACCTTCAGGGAGGATTGGTTAAGAATGCATAACTTGCCGAGGACCGTCCAGAAGTCCGGTTGACTGACAGTGTCAAATTATTTTGACAGATCGATAACGGCATAATTGAGATCCCGACGATGCTCCCTGCACGTTCTCTAAGTTCTCTTCTGGCACATCATCAGCCGCGACGAGGGAGTCGATCGTGCACCCGCGCCCGGAGCGTGGAAGCATCCGGGCGGTTCGTAGTTTTCCGCTCGTTTGTGATGCAGGGCTGGTGTCTGGTGCAAGAGGAGTGTAGTGGCTGTCCCGTGTTCAGCTTGTTGATGCAACCCAATGGATCGACACACTTCCTGTACACTGTGATCTCTTTCTGCCGGGGCACTGCAATCCCCCTATCCTTGCGTCCTTGTAACCTTACCAGGCTATCTAGGGCCAGGGATCCCGCACCTCCGATTAGCGTGGTTGGCTACATACGGTGCGAAAGAAGTTCAACATACATACATAAAGTAATAAGGCTTGCGCTCGGGTCATGGCTAAGATTACGGGTTAGAGCTAGTGCTAGCGTCAGTGCTATGCGCTAATCTACGTATGGATGCTGAACTTCTTTTGCACCGTACGTAGCCAACCGTGCTACGTACGGTGCGAGCTAAGCTGTCCCCCACCTCCCCGTCTTACCTTCCTCCTGGGTGTCCCGCCGCCCCCTCAGGCCCAGCCCCCGCTGCGTCGTGATCACGTGACTTCTGCACCGTCTCCTTCTGGAGGCTCCGCTGCTTTTTGCGAAACTTCGCCCGGCGGTTTTTGAACCACACCTTAAGTCATTCGTGGAGAAGGGGTGGCATCATCGTGAACAACAACATCATCATCATCTTTCGCATAAACAGCAACGGCGACAGAAAGTTGCCCAACTCACAGTGAGAAGTTAACAAGCGGAGTGGAATAACACGCGCGTGCGGGCGGGCGAGGGTGCGAGTGGTGTCCACGCAACGTGAGAGCTACGGACAGCGAAGTCGCATCGGGGCGAACAGGTGCGGCGAGAGGGAGCAACGCGGTGATTGGCTGGCTGCAAACACAGGCGGCTAATTAAGATGCATAGCGGTGATTGGCTGGCTGCAAATGCAGGCGCGGAAGAGGCGCCAGGTTGCCGTGAGATTGAGGCGATAGCGGCGAAAGCCACGGGCGAGAGGCGACGGGGAGGTCGCCAGCTTAATGCATGAGGAGTTCATGAGGAGGGGGATAAATACGGGACGGTGAGAGAGAGAGAGAGGTTGGGTTGGTCGGAGTGAAGACAAGAGAACAGACGAGAGAAGTCCCAGGCCCCGCTCTCCACACTTCGTCGTCTCCAGCTGTGATGACTAAAGGCAAGGGCGAGGTTGGAGAGGCGAGGGTAGAAAGGCTAGCAGTAGAGAAGCTAGCGGAATCCTAAGCGTGAGCGTGTGAAGCTAGCAGTGGAGAAGCTAGCAGTAGAGAAGCTAGCGGACTCCTAAGTGTGAGCGTGCGAAGCTAGCAGTGGAGAAGCTAGCAGAGTGTGTAGTAATAGGCTAGCAGTGGAGAGGCTAGGAGAGTGAGAGAGAGAACAGGCTAGCAGTGGAGAGTGAGAGAGAGAACAGGCTAGCAGTGGAGAGGCTGCGAGAGAGAGAACAGGCTAGCAGTGGAGAGGCTAGGAGAGTGAGAGAGAGAACAGGCTAGCAGTGGAGAGTGAGAGAGAGAACAGGCTAGCAGTGGAGAGGCTGCGAGAGAGAGAACAGGCTAGCAGTGGAGAGGCTAGGAGAGTGAGAGAGAGAGAACAGGCTAGCAGTGTAGATGGCTGCGAGAGAGAGAACAGGCTAGCAGTGGAGAGGCTAGGAGAGTGAGAGAGAACAGGCTAGCAGTGGAGAGACTAGAAGAGTGAGAGAGAGAGAGAGAACAGGCTAGCAGTGGAGAGGCTAAGAGAGTGAGAGAGAGAACAAGCTAGCAGTGGAGAGGCTAAGAGAGTGAGAGAGAGAACAGGCTAGCAGTGGAGAGGCTAGTAGAGTGAGAGAGAGAACAGGCTAGCAGTGGAGAGGCTAGGAGAGTGAGAGAGAGAGAGAACAGGCTAGCAGTGGAGAGGCTAGGAGAGTGAGAGAGAGAACAGGCTAGCAGTGGAGAGGCTAAGAGAGTGAGAGAGAGAACAGGCTAGCAGTGGAGAGGCTAGTAGAGTGAGAGAGAGAACAGGCTAGCAGTGGAGAGGCTAGGAGAGAGAGAGAACAGGCTAGCAGTGGAGAGGCTAGGAGAGTGAGAGAGAGAACAGGCTAGCAATGGAGAGGCTGCGAGAGAGAGAACAGGCTAGCAGTGGAGAGGCTAGGAGATAGAGAACAGGCTAGCAGTGGAGAGGCTAGGAGAGTGAGAGAGAACAGGCTAGCAGTGGAGAGGCTAGTAGAGTGAAAGAGAGAGAACAGGCTAGCAGTGGAGAGGCTAGGAGAGTGAGAGAGAGAGAACAGGCTAGCAGTGGAGAGGCTAAGAGAGTGAGAGAGAGAACAGGCTAGCAGTGGAGAGGCTAGGGGAGTGAGAGAGAGAACAGGCTAGCAGTGGAGAGGCTAGGAGAGTGAGAGAGAGAACAGGCTAGCAGTGGAGAGACTAGAAGAGTGAGAGAGAGAACAGGCTAGCAGTGGAGAGGCTAAGAGAGTGAGAGAGAGAACAGGCTAGCAGTGGAGAGGCTAAGAGAGTGAGAGAGAACAGGCTAGCAGTGGAGAGACTAGGAGAGTGAGAGAGAGAACAGGCTAGCAGTGGAGAGGCTAAGAGAGTGAGAGAGAACAGGCTAGCAGTGGAGAGGCCAGTAGAGTGAGAGAGAGAACAGGCTAGCAGTGGAGAGACTAGGAGAGTGAGAGAGAGAACAGGCTAGCAGTGGAGAGGCTAAGAGAGTGAGAGAGAGAACAGGCTAGCAGTGGAGAGGCTAGGAGAGTGAGAGAGGGAGAACAGGCTAGCAGTGGAGAGTGAGAGAGAGAACAGGCTAGCAGTGGAGAGGCTAGGAGAGTGAGAGAGGGAGAACAGGCTAGCAGTGGAGAGTGAGAGGGAGAACAGGCTAGCAGTGGAGAGTGTGAGAGAGAACAGGCTAGCAGTGGAGAGGCTAGTAGAGTGAGAGAGAGAACAGGCTAGCAGTGGAGAGGCTAGGAGAGTGAGAGAGAGAACAGGCTAGCAGTGGAGAGGCTAGGAGAGAGAGAGAACAAGCTAGCAGTGGAGAGGCTAGGAGAGTGAGAGAGAGAGCAGGCTAGCAGTGGAGAGGCTAGGCGAGTGAGAGAGGGAGAACAGGCTAGCAGTGGAGAGTGAGAGTGAGAGAGAGCGCAGGCTAGCAGTGGAGAGGCTAGGAGAGTGAGAGAGGGAGAACAGGGTAGCAGTGGAGAGTGAGAGGGAGAACAGGCTAGCAGTGGAGAGTGTGAGAGAGAACAGGCTAGCAGTGGAGAGGCTAGTAGAGTGAGAGAGAGAACAGGCTAGCAGTGGAGAGTGAGAGAGAGAACAGGCTAGCAGTGGAGAGGCTAGGAGAGTGAGAGAGGGAGAACAGGCTAGCAGTGGAGAGTGAGAGTGAGAGGGAGAACAGGCTAGCAGTGGAGAGTGTGAGAGAGAACAGGCTAGCAGTGGAGAGGCTAGGAGAGTGAGAGAGAGAACAGGCTAGCAGTGGAGAGTGAGAGAGAGAACAGGCTAGCAGTGGAGAGGCTAGGAGAGTGAGAGAGGGAGAACAGGCTAGCAGTGGAGAGTGAGAGAGAGAACAGGCTAGCAGTGGAGAGGCTGAGAGAGAGAACAGGCTAGCAGTGGAGAGTGAGAGGGAGAACAGGCTAGCAGTGGAGAGTGAGAGAGAGAACAGGCTAGCAGTGGAGAGGCTGAGAGAGAGCGCGGAGCGAGCGGGGTGAAGCAGGCGAGCAGCGCAAGCGGGAAAATCACGACGAAGTTATGGGGGGTGTCGAACGCGAGGAGTTCTGTTCAATAAAAAGTGACACAGGAGAGAAATAAGAGGTTGTCCGCGTTAAATAAAAACACTACACAAGCGTAGCCCCGTGTGGTGGTGCGCGTCTGTGATCCAGCACTTTGGCAGTCGAGGGTCGGTGAATCACGTAGAGAATTATGGAACTCGCAAACCCCCTAGGTTTCAGAATTGTTCCAAATATCCGAATGCAGGACCTTCCTGCGAGCGTGGTGAGATTCAGTACGGCTTTCCTGAATAAACAAAAGTCCACTCTGCCCTTAATTGCCGTTTCCTTACAGTTGTTGATATAAATGCCACTGCTTTTTAGCAAGTGGACAGCAGCGGATTTTCTATGGATAGACTGGTCACCACCATGGTAATGTGGAATTTCCATCCCCATAAAGAACTCACACCAAAGATTGTATCGCTGTTGAGTGAGCGTCCCTGAAATTACCAATTTACACCCCTAATAGACAAAACCACCCGACACAGCCCTCTGACCGAGGACCTTATTCTTAAATCTGTATTTCCAACACAGCCATTATGAACGGATGAGAGACACACCCAGACCTAAGGCTGGAGCCCAGGACTTCATCACTGCTAATTTGGCATGGCCATGATGAGCGCAGCACTGACATTATGAACCTCCTAGCAGAGAGAGATTGACACCCACCCTCAGGGCTCAAAGCCACCCCGCAGTTATTGCTAACTCAGTGTTTCCAACACGGCCATGATGAACCCCGTGTGGGAAGTGTTGACAGCGAGGTGTTGTTTAGGGAACCCGCTGAGATTTCAAGGTTAAGCCGGAGTTAAATGGTCCAATGCTCCTGTGATGCTGCGAATAAAATAATGCTGTTCATGCTGCTGTTTACCATGACCCACAATTCTGAGCAAAGTTGCTTGCACATTGCGAAACTCTCAGCGACTTTGTTCGGAATCATTTTGATTGTTCTCTTGTTGCACGTGCAAAAGCAGTGATTGACTGTGCGAGTTCAAAAGCATTGTCATGGCAACGTACAAGTTTAAAGAATAACAGAGTGCATATTCCTAGTGAACATGGAACGTCGAGCCAACGTTGATCTGTTCCAACCACATGCCAAGATCGCCTCAACGTTGAACGTTAGCTGGGTTTGTATGTATGTGAAGAAAAAAATGGAATAGCCTCCCTTAATGCATTTAAATAACACACCATAATTATTCACACATATTTTCTTTTTTTTATGCATTTCTTTCAATGACGTGTGTTTTTTGTACTATTCACAGGCTAAGCAGAGGGATTTGCTCGTCAAGTTGCCCTGCCAGGTTTGCGTGATCCCCGCGGGCCGGGCTACCCAGACAAGAGGGAGGGCAGGAAGTGGGGCTTTGGGCCTTCAGGCCTTAACGGTATTAGCACGACTGTGTGTGATGGGCTCAAACAACTTTGTAACGTGCATCCCTGTTGCAAAACAGAAGCAACCAAGTTGCAGTGTTTAACACGAGATGTTGCACATGTCAGCAACGTATCCAGTGGTGCAGCATGGGCCTTGTGGCACAAATAATGAATTGGGAGCCCCTTGTCCAATTTCCACACTCTTATAGCCCAGTGCCTGGGCCCCTCCAGCCTGTGGGCAGAGCCACCGAGAGGGTACCTGGAGTCCCAGAGCTGGAGGCCTGGGGCAGAATACCAGGTGGGGTCCTCGTATTCATTTGCAACAATAAAACAAAATCAGTTCCGTTGTGGGGCCCTCGTTTCGAGGGGTAAATTGTCCCGAATGCCCTCGTCCTTTCGGGCGGCCCTTGCCTGTGAGGCACATCTGGGCTCTCCCTGTAGTTTGTTTGGTGGGGAGAGGGATGGATAATTGTGGTTGTGGCCAAGCAAACCCAACACTCTGGTCCGTCTAGTAAAACGACGTAGTCTGCGCTCGACATTGGCAATTTAGCTCCCTGAACATAACCTCCGCCATCGTACGCAAACAGAACGCAATTCGGCACGAACGGCCGGGCGGCACCTGCACGCGAGCCTCGGGCAGGTTGGTGCACATGGCGAGACGTTCCCGCATCACCACATCGGGGTAGTGCGTCTTCTGGAAGGTCTTCTCCAGCGCCTCGAGCTGCTGCGCCGTGAAGGCGGTGCGGGAGCGGCGCTGCTTGCGGTGCTGGGTGCCGTAGCGCGCCTCCAGGATGATGTCTGCGGTGGGTGGGGAGCAAGACGGAGGAGGGACGAAGGGGGGAGGTGAGACTCAATGTGAAGAGGTGGAAGGGTGCGAGAGATGACCGTGTTGTGCGTTTGTCGGTGATCTACCAGTCGATCGACTGGATAATCCAGATGTTTGGTGACCCCCATTTTATTCACTAAAACGGTACATCTTTTCAAAGTAAGGTTTATTTAACACAGAAATGAGTATGCAAAGGAAACAATGTTAGAGGTCAATTAATTTTGGGTCACAAGACACCTGGACCACCCTGTACTTGGGTCAGAGTTTTGTAATAATTAAGAAAGGCGAGGAAAATACACATTTACAATCTAAACGCCGTAGATCACTCCATACCGAGACGTGTTTATACATTTGAGCCCTCAAAAGCTCACCTCCACCCAATTAAAGATGCAAAGCGGAAATAAATCACGAAACCTTTAAAACAAATTAAGGTGGTAAATTTACTTTTTTTTAGTTCCCCCAAAAAGTACACGTGAACAACGAATTTTAAAACATAATACGCTCGAGTTAACAGTCGACAACCCAAATGCAGCTGTACTCTAGCAGCTGCACACCCAAGGGCAGTTGTATGACCTTTCCAACGCAAGGTTGCAGAGTCATTATTTGTAAAATGAGTAAAGTCACGATCAGCGGGGGGGGGGGGGGGGTCGCCATCTCGCTCTTTAATGGCTTCACTCTGGTGTAAATGGCATACTTTTCAATACGAAACAATTTGGTGATGCTGCTGCATTGGCAGCGGTGCACAATCACAATTAACAACAACAAAAACTCAACACATTCGTAAATTACACTGTGGCCATGAAATAATAATACATATATAATGGGCGACATTTCGGGCCGTGGACTTACTTTAAAGCACGTAAATAGGCCAGAGAGATTATACTCTATTTTTGCGTGCACCAATATGTTCAGGAGCTAGATCAGATTAATAATAATTGATATTGGAAGAATCCGCTGAGCTATAAAGCTCACAGATGTCCACGGAGGGACAGGTCAAACGTTTCAACAATACACAATACAAAAACACGATAGGATTCCAAAGTATAGAAAAGGTAAACAAATCACTTCAATATATATAAATACACTGTTTATCTTATCAGGTAAGGTCCACTGAGCCATTAGCTTTTTTTCAGAAGCAACCTGGCCAGTGTCAAGGTTTGTTGGCCACAATAGGGCTTCAGGAGATCATTTGTGTAGTATTGCTATTTCTCCTTTGAAGGAGCGCAGACTTCAGTGGTTTACAATATGCTCCATAGTTTGAGAGAGACAATAAGATGTGTTCGATTTGGAGGATGCACTTCACACCATGGGGTCCGATGAGAATTAAAGCCACGTTACATTGCTGCCACACATTTCTAAGCCAATGGGGTCTCAGCCCGCGAAAATTTTAAACTTAAAATGGTGGCAACTCGGTTCCCAGAGGAAATTAGGGCACCAGGGGTGACGAATCATCAGCGTTCGATTTGTAGAGTAGCAGAAGCAGATGTAAACGGCCACGTCGCCCTGGATCGATGCCGTTTTGATAGCGACATAAAAGAGCGGTACTTTATTTTCAGGGTTGCGTCGTTCGTAAAAAAAAAAAACATTTACCGATGCCATTAACACAAAAAAACATTAACAGCCTCAATATACTGCACCACGTAACGTGCAAACGGACACAACATACATATTTTTGGATCAATGGAAATTAAGTAATAATTTCCACATTACAAAGGGTATAATCAGAACACGGCTGTGATTGATCTTGGAATGTCGGATAACTGCCATCGACCCCACCACGTGTACACCGTGACGGACGAGAGAGCCCAGTGAAGGAGGGAGAGATGGAAGGGGAGGGAGGTTCACACCTCTGAAGACTCTAACGGTGCTATTTATTTTGATTTAAAGCTTTCGTGACTGCAGGGATTCATTTTCTTGGTTCTTTCGGTAAAGTCACGTAGAAGGGAAACAATAAAATAATTAATAAAAAATATAAAACAATTAAATTCTCACGCACACTGATGACGATTGCTTGTGTTGCAGTCGAAACGTCGTGATAATTTTATTGTTTTACATTTGTATTATTTTATTGTTTCCCTTCTACGTGGTGACTTTACTGAAAGAACCAAGAATATACATGGTGCTATTTATATCGCAGCCCGGTGTCACGCACACTACAAGCCAAGCTGACACTCATCTCCCCCCATTGAGGGGTCTGAGAAGTGAGTGGAAAGGGAAAACAATTAAACAATGAGAGACCGGGTATAGCAATGACTAGTTAGAAGAGAGAAAAAGTGAGATCGGAGAGTGTGCGAGAAGGTGGAGAATAACTGAGAGTAATTGGAGAGTGAGGTGTTAGGAGAATATGAATGCGTAAAAGAAGAGCAATGGACAGAACATGAAAACGTAAACAAGTTTGACGATGCGACAAATGAAGAACGAGATATCGAACGAGAGCAATTACAAGCACAGGATGAATATACAGTAAAACCTTGGATTGCGAGCATAATTCGTTTCGGAAACGTGTTTGTAATCCAAAGCACTCGTATATCAAAGCACTCGTATATCAGTTGTGATCACGTGACGCTCGGCAAAGCGTATACGTACTACTCGTATTGCAAGACCTCGCTCAGTTATCAAATTAATACTTATTTTAAAAAATGTGCTCGTCGTGCGAAACACTCGCAGACCAAGTTACTCGCAATCCAAGCTTTTCCTGTGACAGCAATTATAACAAAAACATAATGGCCAATCATTGCTACAGCAAGAACTGTATGACGAGCAATATCACGAGGATTGACACAGTCTGTCACCCCTCGTCCCTCTCACACTCTCACACCCACCCGCCAGTCTCTCGGCGAGCGTGAGCGCGTGCACCGACGGCCGGTATTCATGCGCCGGGTGCACGTGGTGACCTAAAATGGCCGCCCCCACGTGTGCCGAGCCGCCATTGTGAAGCTGTTGATGTTGCTGGTGTTGCTGTTGATGCTGCTGCTGGTGATGCTGTTGATGATGATGCGGTTGATGATGATGCGGTGTGGTTGGTAAATGTCCAGCAGCTTGCGGCTCGTGTTGCTGCTGCGATGGCTGTTGCTGATGATGGTGTTGATGTTGATGATGGTGATGCTGATGATGGTGGTGATGCGAAGCTGCTACGGCAGCAGCTGCTGCCGCCGCCGCTGCCACGTGCTGACCACCGATATGGCCGCCGGTGTGCACGTGCAGCCCGTATATGGTGCCCAGCGGATATCCATTCGCCGCCGCTGCGGCAGCAGCCACAGCCGCGGCACCGCCAAAGTGCTGCATGTTCCTTCGCTGCTGAGAAAAGTAGTCCCTGAAAAAAACAAATAGAAATTGAATGAAACTCATTTAAGCATATCCCCATGCTCGAAGGAGCATAGACTCTCTGATCCAGTGGAAATTCCATATTACCGTGGCTGGAGTCGGTATCTGCATAAGACAACTCATTTAAAGCAGCTATAACATGTCTGGGAGGCTCAACCAATGTTCGGAGCCAGGATTTTCAGGTGGGGGGGGGGGGGGGGGCAACCCCTCTAGCAATGAAAATTGATAGAGGAGTTGTTAGTAAGTAAGGACTTGTCCCTTGCTTTTTATTCGACGCGTGTGCGGCGATGGCGCAGCCATCGATCGAGGGTCGAATTCGAACCGCGTTGTGTGATCGGCATCGCGCTCGCTGAAGGTGTTGATGCCTTCAGGGAAGTCGTGGACTGTATCCGCAACTGCGCACAATTCTGAGTCACTTATAACTGCTTTGCCATTACTTGTTGCCAATTATGGACTCAGACTATTGTCCTATAATCTCAGAGTCCCTGGCACGTAATAATATGCTACACAGTGGCAGTCGCAAAATGCCGATCTATTACTAATAAACCCCAAAGATCCGATCGAATTTAAGGATTTAGATCGGATCATTGTGGGGGGGGGGGGGGGGCACATGCCACCCCACCCCCCACTGGCTGTGCCAGTGGGCTCAACTGGAACACGTGGCGAGCTGGCAGCCGCCTCCCTCCCACAGCCCCGCCCACATTCGAATAACCACGCCCATTCAATCGCTATCCCCCGCCCAGTAACCCCCCACCTCTCCTAAATCATGGGCCCGGTCCTTTGTCCGAACCATCAGTTGAGAATGAGGCCAGAAAAAAATAAAACCGGGACGAAAATGAGAACCTTCGCCAGGCTTTATGGGGGACACAAGAACAGCCTTCCTGAAAAAACACCAGGACTGTCCCAGCCCGATCGGGACGTTTAGCAGTTTCACACCGATGACGTTCCAATTTTAATATCAATCAACCTCTTGTCGGACATTTATTTAAAAAAATCCATTGGAGCAGCGCGACACGGCATCGTGGCCGTGCCAGAGGCCGATCCCGGAAGATGAGGCCACACAGACCCCGCTTCAACCGGAGCCTCGTGCCCGCCTCGCCCAACGCCAGCCACGCAATTCACCACATGCCAGTCATCCCACGTGTTTTGAATTAGAGTCAATCAGAGCTAAGCCCGAATGAACAGTGACTATTAATAACGGTGATCGTGATGGAGTTTGTTTTGTGCAGTTATCATCGGTGAGATGTCTTACGACACAAGACAATTATACTTTAGTCTTTTTGATTTAAAGCTTTCGTGACTGCAGTGATTCATATTCTTGGTTCTTTCGGTAAAGTCACGTTGAACGTGAACAAGAATATATAACAAGAATATATATACTTTAGTAGTTAAAACGAATTATTTGGCAATGCTTGCTGCGTTGGCAGTGGAGCACAAAGCACACGTAACACAACAACTCAACACATTTGTCAACAGCACTGCGTGGAAAGGAAAAGTAGAAATAACAGGAGACGTTCTGGGCATTGGCGTGTCTCCATAGCACATAAAGGCCTCCATGACTTATTTAGTCATTGAGGATAAACATCCGGATTCGAACCCAGATCATCAGCGGTGCGTTTTTGTTTTCCACCTATCCAGGTTTGACCGAGACAGTCCGGAAAAAAATGGCAATCGATATTCGCGTGGCAGGAATTGATCTGTATCGAGGTCTGGTGGCATTGTGTTGAAATGTATCACAGGATACTGCAGTGTTGATAGACCTTAGGCTGACTAAGCAACACGTCACGGTTTGGTGCTTGGAGGACATGGCAACCTCACTGGTGCTGGCACGGCGTCGCTGCCACGGCCATTGTGAGACACCCTGGAGAGATGTTAGAGAAACACGCACACCTTGGCTATGCCGATCTGCATTCTGGCAGAGTATTGGGCATTGGCAAAATGAACTCTGAAGAATCATGTGAGCCTTGGATGACACTGAATTCTAGGACTCCTCAAGGTACCTTAGCCAATGTCAGCATCGTGTATGTGTGTATATTAAGTCACGTGACTTTACCGAAAGACCCAAAGAATATCAATTCCTGCAGTCACGAAAGTCAATATGTGTGTGTGTAGTTGAGTGTGTGTGGGTGAGTGTAGCGGTTAGCGCGCTGCGCTACGAACCTGGCCACCCGGGTGCCCGCTCACGGCCAACACCGGTGGCGATTATCTGAACCGGTCCTGGGCATTCCCTAAGTCGACTCAGCCTCAAATGAGTACCGGGTGCGGTGTGTAAACATTGCCACTAGGGAGACAAAGGCGGCCGGGCGTGTTGTTGGCCACCCACCCCCTCGTGTGCCGTGCCGGCCTTTATAGGTGCTCGCTCTTATAGGTGCTCGCTCTTGTCCCTACAGTCTGTTAAGGCTATACGGGGGATCTTTATGTGAGACTGTGTGTATATGAGTGTGTGTATGTGTGTGTATGTATGTGTGATACTGTGTGAGAGCGTATTGTGAATGTGTGAGTGTACGTGAGAGTGTGCATGTGTGAGACTGTGTGAGTGTGTATGTGAGAGTGTGAGACTGTGAGTGTGTATGTGAGAGTGTGTGAGACTGTGTGTGTGTGCGAGTGTGAGACTGTGTGTGTGTGCGAGTGTGTGTGAGTGTGTATGTGAGAGTGTGTATGTGAGAGTGTGTGTGTGTTGGGAGAGCTAAATGCCCGTTCGTTGCGTCCCTCCGCTCTCATCACCTCGCTGTCAAACAAGCCGCCTCGGGCTCTTACAGGGAGATGGATGGGAGGAGAGGGATCGGGGAGAGCGGGAGGGGAGAGGGAGGGGAGAGAGCCGGGGAGACGGGGGAGGGGTGTGGAGGAGAGCGCTTATGTACAGCCCCTTTGTCAATCCACTGCTGGATGAGCCCCCCCCCCCCCCCCACCACTACGCAGTGACCCTACTTCACCACACCGGTTAGTGCGGGTAGGTTGAAGGTGATCAGACCCAGGCTCGGTTGAGATGTCACTCGCCATTGATGTTATGTTAGCCGTGGCCGGGAGTCGAACTCGGGTGGACGTAGCAGAGTGCGCTAACCAATGCGCCACCGCTCCACCAGAGAGAACGAGGCGCCTTATATAGAGAGGTGTTATTCGAATGCTATCGATGGATATTAATGATCTCGAGATGGGTGTAATGAAGATGTTATAGCGACGTTAGAGATATTATGTAAAGATGATATACACGCACGTACTGATAGAGAGACACGGTGTAGGGAGTGTGGGGACTGTGTGTTATAAAGATGTGCAGCTACACTACAGACGTAGATGACTATGAATACATTGGAGGTAATTCAAAGTGCCTGCAGAGTATAGATACATCGTAGTTCGGTAGAGATTTGTAATGTGTTTTTTTTTAATCCAAAATAGAGGGGGGGTTTTTGTCAGATCGCGTAAATATAAATGTGTCGTTAAACCCGCCACCACCCGACACAGCCAATGTATATGGTTTGTTACGTAAACAAAACGTGCCAATTCGTTGGCATGTTAAATATTGCATCGAAATACATTGGAAGATAAATGTAGTATGTAGTTACATCATATATCCCATATTGTAGAATGTGACAGATGTATGTACAGTAATATGATGGTACGCATATTACTACTACTGTACGTTTAGCCTTAGACCATCTCAGACCTCGGAAGACGCGCAGGTCTGAGCCTGGACAGCTTGACCATCGTGATGTGTCCCGGTGTCCTATAGGCAGCAGAGGGCAGCAGTGCAGAGAATCCCATTTGTGTAAACCTCCAAAATGTCGTGGGTTTACCCTCCAACGCATCGGTGTGCTGTACTGGTGACGGATTTCCATGTGTTTGTTTAGGTGACAAACCTACACTAAAATAGGCTGTGACGAGTGTTGTCGGATTTAACCAGACATTTATATTGACGCGATATAACCCCCCATTGTGCGTGTGTGTGTATATACTGTAGGCTTCGCACTGACCAGTATGGTGAAGTAAGGTCGAATAACCCCCACGGTTTGGGGTCTCATTGATTCATTACCATGCTGTGCGACTCTGCATAAAATAATCTCTGTAACGTTTTAAAATACTGCACCATTGCATCTCTCTAATGTGGGGAGTGGTGCGCAGTAATTTCCTGAGTTTGATTCCGGATCACGGTTAACATCAGTGGCGAGTGATATCTAATCTGGTCCTGAACTGTCCGTTTTACCATATACTGTTAACAAGACAAAGATCCCCCGTATAGCCTTAACAGACTTTTGGGGCAAGCGAGGCGCTATGAAGGCCGTCACGGTACACGAGGAGGTGGGTGGCCAGCACCACCCCAGGTACTCATATGAGGCTGAGTCAACCTAGGGGAGGCCCCGGACCGGTTCAGGTAAACGTCATTGGTGTTGACTGTCAAGCGGGAATTGAACTCGGGTCGACGGGTTCGTAGCGCAGCGCTGTATACAAACATTTAACCAGTACACATGGAATGTCGGGGCCCACGTTGGCCAAACGTTGGTGCAACGATTCCAACCGCATGCCAACGTTGAACCAATGTTTACTGGGTACATAGTTTTACATGCATAGAGTGGGCTATACATATGCACGTATACCCCCCCCCCACCAAAGACCCCCCTTATAGCCTGATCAGACTCTTGTGGAAAGTGCTGTTAGCAAGCACCAATGAAGGCCGCCACGGCACACGAGAGGGTGGTAGGTGGGCAGCACCACGCTCGACCGCCTTTGTCTCCCCAACGATGATTACACTCCACACCAGGTACTCATTTGAGGCCGAGTCGACCTAGGGGAGGCCCAAGACCGGTTCGGACAATCGTCACCGGTGGTGTTGGCGGCCGTGAGCGGGAATCGAACCCGGGTCACCGGGTTCGTAGCGCAGGGCGCTAACCGCTACAACACCGCTCCATCGCGGTCAAAGACAACGCACGGACACACACACAGCAGCGCATCATCCACTGCTGGATGACGAGGGCCTTCCCACGCCGTACGGGTCAC